TGGCCTTGTCCAGTCCATGGGCCTGCTCCTCTGTCCTCTCTACCTCTGCTGAGCCACGACCCTGCGGCATGGAGCCCTGAGCTGACTGTGCGCCCCACTCCCAGGTTGCCCCCCTCTCTGGACCCGTTGTGCTCGCAGTAAACAGGGGGTCATCTCTGCCTGTGATGGAGCAAAACCTGGCAGGTCAGCTACTGAGCTTGCAGCAGTTGCTTTAAATTTCATTCCTCTCCCTTTTTACCATTCATTCGTTCACTGTATTTACTGAGTGACCTCTGTTTGTCAGGCCTTGCTCAGAGGATACGGTCAGGGATGAATGAGACCACGTCCCTACCCACACATTTGAGTGGGGGAAGCAGACATTAAGCAACTAACCTCATCTATATATATAAAATGGAGGAATGTGCAAATTTGCCTGGACGCCCTCACAGTAACGACCTGCTGGATCGGTGGGTGTGTTTGCGTGCGGCAGGGGGCCATCTATATATATAAAATGGAGGAATGTGCAAATTTGCCCGGGACGCCCTCACAGTAACGACCTGCTGGATCGGGTGGGTGTGTTTGCATGCGGCAGGAGGCCGGGACGTGAGGCTGCGTCAAATAAAATAAAATGTGTTCACATGCCCTGAAGCACAAACATCCCAGCAGATAACTCAATGCAGGTTATTGTGTAATCACAGTGATTACACAATATCGATTACACAATAAACTTCTTTTCACCGAAAAATAACATCTTCACTTACAGATGCCCCAGCACGGCTGCTGAGGCTTTCATCTGTCCTTCTACACCGAAGGCGGCAGGGTTCAAGGAGGAAGGGCTCCAGTTGCGTTTTCTCAGCACCCAGCCAGGAGGCCTCCCTGGGGGGGCTCTTCCCTCTGAGCCCTGAGCAGGCGGGCGCTCCGCTCCAGCCCAGGAGCCCTGCGGGGAGGCAGAGCGAAGTGCTTTCCCTCCGGGACCCTGCTCTCCCTGGGAGTTCGGCGTGGAGGGCGCTCTCCCTGGGAGCCCAGAAATCCACTTCCCCGGGCGACTGCACAGCAGCCAGGCCTGGCGAGCCGCGGGAGGGCGACCTACCCATGCAGAGGTGTATGTTGGCAGAGGCCACGCAGCTGACATCCTCGATGGAGGAGCAGGGGTAGTGGGGATCGGAGTCGGCCATGTCGGCAATGGAACCCCAGCTCCCCGCAGAATGATGTTCAGCACACGGACCTCAGTCACTTCCTGAGCAGCAGTCAGCCCCGACCGGGGATCAAACCCGAAACCTAAGTAGGTGCCCTGACAGAATGGAACCCAAACCTTTGCTGTGGCAGAGGAGCTCCGGCCCACAGCAGGGGCCAGGACAGCCAGAGGGGTTTTGTTGAGGGGCCCTGACAGGCAGCCCGCAGCGCAGTGGGTTGGAACCTCCTCCTAACACAGCCAGGTTGCGGGTTGGATCCTGGTGAGGGCACAGACAAGAAGCAACCAATGAGCACAATAAGTGGAACAACACACTGGTGTTTCTCTCACTCCCTTCCTCTCTCTAAAATAATCAATCAATAAAAAAAAAAATAAACCCTCTGGCTTGCAGAGTTGCTAAAACAGTTAGCACCCTTCAGTCTGCCTGCAGAAGCACTATCCACTGGACCAAACCAGCATTTTTTTTCTTTTTAAGTCCTCCTCTAAGGATATGTTTTTTTCATTGATTCTAGAGAGACAGGAAGGGAGAGGGAAAGAGAAAGAGAAACACTGATCACTTGCTCAAGCAATCCACAACCTGTGTATGTGCCCTCACCTGGAATCGAACCCATAACCCTTTGGTGCGTGGGAGGACACTCTAACTACTGACCCACACCAACCAGGGCCTGGAGGTACATTTAAAAAGACTTTTTTCAGACCTGCCCTGGCCAGGTTGCTCAATTGGTTGGAGTCTCAACCTGTACACCAAAGGATTTCCTGTTGGATTCTAGGTTAGGGCACATACTTAGGTTTAGGTTAGATCCTGGTGGGTCAGCAGGGGCAGAGGCAGCCTACTGGTATTTCTCTGTCACATGGGTGTTTTTCTCTCTAAAAATCAATTTTAAAAACATCCTCACGCCGAAACCGGTTTGGCTCAGTGGATGGAGCGTCGGCCTGCGGACTGAAAGGTCCCGGGTTCGATTCCGGTCAAGGGCATATACCTGGGTTGTGGGCACATCCCCAGTGGGAGGTGTGCAGGAGGCAGCTGATCATTGTTTCTCTCTCATCGATGTTTCTAACTCTCTATCTCTCTCCCTTCCTCTCTGTAAAAAATCAATAAAATATATTAAAAAAACAAACAAACAAACATCCTCAGGTGAGAATTAAAAAAATATTAAAAATTTTCAGATCTAAAATTTTATTTTGTTCTTTTTAAAATTTTATTTTTCATTTACAGTTCACATTCAATATCCTATCCTATATAATAAAACCCTAATATGCAAATCAACTGAACGGTGGAATGACTGGTCACTATGAACTGACCACCAGGGGGCAGATGCTCAACATAGGAACTGCCCCCTGGTGGTCAGTGCGCTCCCACAGGGGGAGCGCTGCTCAGCCAGAAGCCAGGCTCACGGCTGGCGAGTGCAGTGGCGGCGGTGGTGGGAGCCTTTGCGGCAGCACTAAGGAACAATGAGCTGAGCAGTAGGGAGCAGCAAGCAGGCAGGCGGTAAGGAGCAAAGGGTCCTGAACTGTGAGAGGGCACAGGTTGGGCTGAGGCCCCTACCCCCCACCCCGGTGCACAAATTTCATGCACCAGGCCTCTAGTTAATGAATATAAAACTACAGAGTTAAATCTTGTATCAGAATGGAATATAGTTCTCTGAGAGGATAATAACTTGATTCATCCTAACTGGGCTGCCAGGGGCGAGAGGAGGAAAGGGATCAAGAGGTGCAAAGGCCTCCCCCCCCCAAAAAAAAGATGTGCAAAGGCCCTGGGGCAAGCAGGTTGGTGGTTCCTCAAAAGTTGAACACAGAGTTACCACATGCCCCAGCAATTCTGCTCCTAGGTATGTGTATATATATATTCAAGAAAAATGGAAACATCCATGTGAAAACTCATGCATGAATGTTTACAGCATCATGATTCATAGCAGCCAAAAAGTGAAACAACCCAAATGCCCATCGACTAATGAACAAAATAGTAGATCCATACAATGAGCCATAAGAAGGAATGAAGTACTGATACATGCGACAGCATGGATGCACCTTGACAACATTATGCCAAGTGAGAGAAGCCAGTCACTCCGAGGCCGCTCCCTTTGGGTGCAGACGGCCGTCTTTCCCCTTTCCCCTCACATGACTGTCCTCGTCTCTCCTCGGGACACTAGCCCCACGGATGATGGCCCTCTCCAGTGACCTCACTCTGCCTCTTTAAAGACGGTGTTTCCAAATCAGTCACATTCTGATGTACTGGGGGGGGGGGGGTTAAGGCTTCAACATAAGGATGTGGGTTCAGCCCTAGCCGGTTTGGCTCAGTAGAGAGAGCGTCGGCCTGCAAACTGAAAGGTCCCAGGTTCGATTCCGGTCAAGGGCACATGCTTGGGTTGTGGGCTCCATCCCCAGTGGGGGACTTGCAGGAGGCAGCCGATCCATGATTCTCTCTCATCATGGATATTTCTATCTCTCTCTCCCTCTTCCTTCCTCTCTGAAATCAATAAAAATATATTAAAACAAGAAAAAGAATGTGGGTTCAGGGGCACAATTCAGCCCATAACACGGAGGAGTGGGGAGTGACTGTGAATGAATATGGGCTTTTCTTCGGGGCAATGAAAATGTTCTGGAATTAGCGATGATCAACGCACAGAATTGTGAATATGCTGAAAACCACGGTCTTAACTCTGAAGGGGGGAACTTGGCCCTGGTGGGAGAAGAAGCCTGGTTTGCAGAGAGGGAGGAGAAAATGGGGTGCTGGTGGGTTGGCGGGGGCCCCGTTACCAAGGGCCTCTCTCAACCCCAGGGACCCCCGAGCGCCAAGTGTCTGCTCCCTGCATAGACTCTGTCCTTCCCAGCGTCTGGCATGAAAGCTCCTGACCAGGGACCCTTTCACATGGGGACTGGGATTGGAACTGGGAAACTTTTTAAACCTCCCAGAGTCGCCCCAGCTGGTTTGGCTCAGTGGCTAGAGCGTCGGACTGTGGACTGAAGGGTCCAAGCCTGGGTTGCATGCAGGAGGCAGCCAATCAACGATTCTCTCTCATCATTGATGTTTCTCTCTCTCCCCCTCTCCCTTCCTCTCTGAATCAATAAAAAAAGTATAATAAAAAAATAAACCTCCCAGGGTCAGCTCTGTCCCTGGAAGGCAGTTTGCCGTGGAGCAGACAGGCTCGGGGTGGCCTCTTGCTTGTCGACACCGGAGCGTTTCCTGCGTGCCAGGCGCTGTGCTAAGTCCCGGTCAGCTAGTCCGCCATGTAGTTCTCACAGTCCAGTGGCGTGGGCACCATCTCTCTTGCCCAGATCACACTGCCCACACAGCTCACAGTGGCATCAGACTTCAACCCTGGCAGCCTGGCTGCAGAGCCCGTGCGGTCACCCACGACTCTGCTGCCTCAGAACGACCCTGTGCGTTAGGGTTGATCAGCCTCTGGTTACCCTCATTTACAGGTGAGGTACTAAGGCCCAGAGAGGTCAGTGACTTGGCTGGGGTGACGATGTTGGGACTGGTGTGGGCAGGTTCCTGTGGGTATGTGAGCTTGGTGCCCGGGAGACCACAGGAACGAACCCTGGGGGAGGCTGTGCCCTGCCCCTGCCGCCCACACCTGTGTGCCCAGTCTCAGTCCTGCTGCCTCCCAGTTCTCTCCCCACATCTGGAGGCGGCTCCGTGGCAAGGCTGCAGGAGGGCCTGGCCTGCCAGGAGGGTCAGGGCCAGTGCCAGAGGTGCCAGAGAGACACCCAGGGGCTCCCCCGGGGGCAGGGTGCCTGTATCCCTGGGAAGCCACCTCCCCGCTTGGGGGCGGGTGCCACAGAGGCCGCGTGACCTTGCGGCTGACATTCCTAATGGCCACGTGGCCCCAACTGGCAGGGACAGCTGCAGACGGGGCCGGACCAGCTTTGTTCCCAGAGCGGCACCGTTCTCCATCAGGCCCTGCTCCACTCCTGCCTGGAGCTGCTTCCCTTCCTGGGGCTCAGAGGGCGGCTGGTACTGGGGGTCCCCCGCCATGAGTGCCTAGAGGCAGGGAGCCACCGAGGTCCGCCCGGGTGGGGCACAGGGCTCTGGGATGGGGCAGGACCAGACGAAGCAGCAGATCGAGAAGGGGCTCCAGCTGTACCAGTCTAACCAGACAGAGAAGGCGCTGCAGGTGTGGACGAAGTTGCTGGAGAAGAGCTCGGACCTCGTGGGGCGCTTCCGCGTGCTGGGCTGCCTGGTCACCGCCCACTCGGAGATGGGCCGCTACAAGGAGATGCTGAAGGTGGGCGCGCCCGGCCCTGGCGAGGGAGGGTGGGGCCAGAGCTGATGGCCCCGGGCTTCCCGGCCCCCCTCCCGCTCCTCAGGCCCCCCTGTGCCCCACAAGCTGGCCGCCGGGGTCTGGGGCTCTGAACCCACATCGGAGGCCTGGGTCTTAGATGCTGCATCTTGGCTTGGGGTTCGGGCCTGTGGCTTTGAACTGCAGGGGCTGGGACTCTCGAGCCAGGAGTCCAGGTTCCAGCCTTCCCGGTGGGGGCTTGAGCCTGAGTCTGGGGGCGCTGGCTCCAGGTTTGAGGCTGGGGCTGGGTGGGCGGTGGGGCTGGAGATCTAGGCTGGGGCAGGAAAGGCGGGGCTCTGGGGCTGCGCTTGGGAGGTGGAGGCTCAGGGCGGAGGCTCCAAAGCTTCGGGCTGTGAGGCTTGGCGGGGGGGGGCGG